ATTTTAATGTTTTAAAAAAAATTATATTTTATTTATATTTTAATAATGTATTAATATATATGGATAATACAAGACAACGAATTCTTTGATACGACCGATCTTTTTAAACTTCCACCAACGACTTCTTAAACGAAGATTTAACTTCTTGAGCTTCTACCAACGACTGACTTTTAGAAGTTTCCTTCTGATGTCCATAGTCGTTTATAAGATTTTTACGATTTGGTCTGACCAATCAAATTATAGCTTCTAAAATTCATCAGAATATTCTAGAAGTTTCTTATGTCCTTCCTATAGGATTGGAGCTTCTATTTTCTAAAGCGCACAAGAAGTACAGGCATTAAGCCTGATTCAAATTAAATACACATAAATACCTGATTGTGATATTTTATTGCGCAATACTTGGATGTGCATACTTGAGATACAAAAATTGTGTATAAAGGCAAAGTGCCGTTATAGTAATGCAGGGTGTTAACTTGTACTTTTTACATCTGATATCCGAATAAGTTGTTCAGTTGTCAACACAACGTGTGTCGATGATACGGCAATTTTATGCCGAAACAAAAAACGTTGTGTTAGGTTTAAACCAATTACAATGCCTCTTATTTTGGTTGGAGAAATGGTTGTCAAAATGGCGAATTAAAATTAATAAACTAAAATGTAGACACGTTATTTTCACCTTAAATCGAAGTATATCTCCAACAACTGTACTGAATAACATTCCCATACCACAAGCAGATAATATAACGTACTTAGGTATTCACCTAGACTGGCGACTAACTTGATACAAACATATTGAAGCCAAAAACCTACAGATGAAGCGTCAAGCGTCTAAGTTGTTTTGGCTCATTAATAACTGATCCTCCTTGTGCTTAGAGTATAAAGTACTTTTATACAATAGCATCATAAAACCAATGTGGACTTCCAGCTATTTAGTAATACTAGTGCTTCAAATATTGGAATTACCCAAAGAGCTCAGTCAAAAATTCTGAGAACAATCACTGGTGCCTCATGTTATACCAAAAAATAAAAGCATTCACAAAGATCTATAAATTCCCTTAGTTGAAGCTGAATTTGACAATATAAGAAAAATATACAATAAAAAACTGACAGAACATGTTAACCCTTTAGCAAGGAATCTCGCACTTCTATCCATTATTTCCAGTTAAAAAATAGCTAACCGTACAGCCATTAATTAAAATTCAAAAACTTGAAGTAAAAGTCGCAGTTTTCTTTTAAGTAATCTGTCAAAGCTGAATTCCTTTCATAAGAAACCACACAATTTTAATTTAACAACTATATATAAAAATATGAATAGTTCAATTATTCTACAGTTGGTTTCTGATTTCGTTCTAATAAAAAGACAGCAAGTGAATTTGTTAATAAAATTTTCACAGCAAATTAACAAAACTCTAAAGTACGAACATGAAAGTCAAATACGGCTTTAGGTCAGTTGGTTAAGGAGCGTTGACTCTGATCTTCAAATTTGGTAGAGCACGAGTTCGATTCTTGATACTTACTGTCTCAAAATATTATTTACGAATAATTTTTTTTATTTTGCATTTTCACAACATAAAATATTGAGAAACGAAATTTTATCCTTTCTTAATAAAGCTATAGTACAATATACTATGTGCAACCAAAAAAAAAAAAAAAATTGAAATAATTCTGAATACATTCCAAAGACACGCATTTGGCACCTTCTGAACAGGCAAAATATTAACAGTCTCTGTAAGTAGCACTGCTGTTAATGCTACGTATGCAGAAATAATTATGTTGGCAAGTGTGATTTACGCTCCATTGGGGGTAGCTACTAGCTAGCAGTCACTATGATATGCACTTAACGCTGCCAGGCAAATTAAGGTGAAATTGGTGCATGTCAGGAATTGTTTATCAAAATTTTAAGCCTAGTTGATTCATTCGTTAAGGTTGCGAGCAGTCCATAATACAATACTTTTCATACATTCCAGACAACCAACTGAGTCACAACAGATAAAGCGAAGCGTTTGCAGTTTGTGTTTGAGTGCGTGCGTGCTTAGAAATTGAATTCAGCATTTAAGATTTGTTGCTTCGCCTTTTACGCTTCTGCTTTAGTTAGTTCTAATATTTTATTACAATTTCTTTAACATAAGCAAAAAGTAACGATCAAATATTGCAAGAAATACGAAATACGAAGTAAGAAATAAGAAAGAGGAAAAATTAAATAAAATTTAATGAAAAAGCAAGTAGCAGAAAAAGCTATACAGGCAGTGCCTGTGTAGAAAAGTTAACATAACTACGGTTGCCTCGTAAACGTCAATATGCACGTACAAACATTTGCACATGTAGTAGTGTAGTAGTGTACACACACCCAACTGTACATCGAATCCGAATCACACATGCACTGAATCGAAGTTGATTTTAATGCATGTGTTATATATGAGTTACAGCGTGTGTCGCATATTGAGATAATCATTAATATTATGTGGGCGTGAGTATTTCCGCATTTCCGCTCATGTATG